ATTTCTCACTAGAACCACTGAAATGCTGGAAGAATCTGGACATCCAGTGGGGTTCCAGCCTTCCAGTGACAACACTGTCTTAGATGATTTTTAACAATTAGTGAATGCTTTATTTTTATTTTTGTCAACTTCTGCTTTATCACAATAATCTAATGCATTAACATTATCTACATTTTCACCATCATCATCTTTTACACTACATTCAAGCATCACAGGCTTGTCCATTTCAACTCTAATTCTATCTTTATTACAATATCCAAAGTTATTGATTTCATTAAAAATTCCTATTTCGTCGAACTTTTGATAATGCATGTTCATCTTTTTCACTTTCAATTCTATGTTAATAATAGTATTTAACAAATGTCCTGCCAGAATCAACCATTCCTGCAAACTCTTAAAAGTTTTTATGATCTGCCTCAACTGTTTCTTCATTATTATTCATGATTTCAACTATCTCATTTTTATTTTCTACTTATAACCAATATTTTTTCATTATCTCCGCAACTACCTTTGCTGCTTCAAATGATATGAAACTTAATAGCATAACCTTGCTATGACATAGTTCTTTCAAACCAGAAATAAACTAATATATTAGGTCAGCTTTATCAACAGAACTCTCAACTAATTCTATCCATGTTTCAAAATGGTATGTATATTCTTCAATAGATTCATCTTCCTTCTGCTTCATCTAAGCTAACTCAATGTTTCTCTCTTCCAACTTATTCTCTATTTTCACTTGTTCATCATCACTATTACCTTTAATTTTCCTAACAATGGAAACTTTTAATGCATTCTAATTATTGTTTGATTTTTTAACTAATTCTATTACTCATGACTTCATCATTTCTAACATATGATTGCAAATCCTCCTACACTTGATTACATCATCCCACCTTTTCAACATGGCATAACTCTCAAAGTCATATAGAAATCCTTCTATACCATTGAACTCATCTTCACCTTGATAATATGGCTTTCCAATTCCTAAGCCACCCATGCTTGAAATAACAACGTGTCTCACCAATTCAAAAAAATACAATAAAAGTCTATTTTTTGGTATGCGATTGACTTTTGCTTACCCAAGGTCCTATTCTGTCACGGGGTTAAACAATATAGGGTAAACTATACCGAATATCTGGGTCAGAGTTATAAATGAACACTCGTTTAATTGTTTTATATTTATTTATTTAAGTAAAGTAAGTGACGAAATAGAATAAGCGAAGAGTATCTTTATTAAAACTATCTAAGAATCCACTATCTAAGAATCCACTATCTAAGAATCCACTCTCTAATTATCAAACTTTACATTTTACTTATAAACTATTACTAATCATTATCGATTACTACATTGTTCATGCAATTGTTATTATTACTAATCGCTATCTCCCTATTATCTCATTGTACCGTTTGCATAATTTATCTATTGCATTACTTATTTATTACTATATTTTTGATCATCCGTTCCGTTATCATTAATTATGACATTAACTGCAACACACGTGATACTAACTCTCTTTGAGACATATGTTTTTTTATTTTTAATTACATAATAAAAATATTTTTTTATTTATTAATGCAATAAAATAAAAAATATATTACTGTTCGTCTGCGCTAATTTTTGCAATTGTACTAAAACAGATATAATTTGACACCTTTTTAAATCTTAGCTTTTGATCCACTGGACCGTTTTTAATGAAATAGCTACCAAAATGTTCTTCACATCGAGACGATTCTAACGAGC